AGCTTTTCGGAGTAGCTTTTTTTAGCCACTCTGATCTCCTTTGTCAGTCTGTTTCTGGCCTGGTTGTACAAGATTTTATCCCCACTTCTGTAAGCATCCTCCTTAGCATAACGAAACTGTTTGAGTTTCCCAGTAAACCATGGTTTATCATTATTGAATGATAGGAATGTCCTGGTAGGAATGCACATTTCCTCGCAGAAACTGATGTATGAAGTTACAGTATCTGTGAGCTCATCCAGATTGGTGGCTGCAGCTTCAAAAACACTCCAATCAGTGCAGTCGAAGCAGGCTTGTAAATCCTGCTCTCCTTCATTAGTCCAGCATTTAACAGTCCTTAATACAGGTTTAGCTGATTTCAGTTTCTACCTGTAGGTTGGTATGAGATGAACTAGACAGTGATCAGAGAGCCCCAAAGCTCCCCCTGGGACAGAGTGATATGCATCCATTATTGTGGTGTAACAGTGATCCAATATATTACTGTCTCTGGTGGGACATGTAACGTGCTGTCTGTATTTTTGCAGTTCACGGGAAAGATTTACTTTGTTAAAATCTCCAAGAATGATTAAAAGAGAGTCTGGGTACCTTTGCTCCATTTCAGTTATTTGTTTAACCAGCTGTTGCAGTGCTGTGCTCACACACATGTCTGGAGGAACTTACACATTCACAAGAATGAAAGAGGAAAACTCCCGCGGCGAGTAGAAAGGTTTAGATTATGAAGAGTTCCTCTAAATTAGGACAGAATATATTATTTCAGCGTTGTTACATCTGAACACCCAGGTGAAAAAGGCATAGTATTAAATGTATTAAAAATATACTTGAAATTCAAGTAGTATGTTTATAATACATTTGTATTCCCAACATGCTCATTTGAAGTGCAATAAAAATATATTGAATTGCATTTTAATATATTTCTAAAAAGTATACTAGAAGTACTTTTGTATTAAATATATGCTTAGTTATACTTCTAAGAAATATGCTAAACAGAAGCATACTTTTAATACAATTTAAATATATTTCTTTTTCACCTGGGCACCAACTTTCCTTGATGAAGAAACACAATCCACCACCTCTCATTTTCCCCGTTAACTTGGCGATGCGATCCGCTCTGAACAGCTGGAAGCCCGCCAGATGAAGCGCTTTGTCTGGAATGGCTTCACTCAGCCAGGTTTCAGTGAAGCACAATGCATCAGAATTTGCAATCCTTGCTGATGCGGGTGAGGAGAAGACATTCATCCATTTTGTTAAGAAGGGAATGGACATTCGCAAGATGAATGCTTGGGAGCGCAGATCAAATAAAAAACAAACAAAAACAGCAGAAGAATTGCGGAGCTCAGCGCCATGGCTGCCATTTATGGCGCCATCTTTATATAGACCACAGAGATTTATCTCTCTCTTCACGTCCACATCAAGGGAATGTGGCAACATGCTTGGATGGGGGAAGGGAATCCTGTGGCAGCTAATCTTGGGACGTGATCTTATTTACTGCCATCTAATGTGCTATTGACCCCACTAGCTGTGAGGGAATAGTTCTATTCACAGGCTAATTAACCCCTTGACGTTGACCCGAGGCTAATCAATGATGGGTATTGCATGACCGTGCCAATCACAGTGTCTTCACTGCCAACAGCTTCAAGTGGGCTTATGAATTTTGACAGAAAACAGGTAAAATCTGTTTTTAAGGTGTTGTTTATGTAGAAAATATGGGGTAAGTAGCATTACGTGACTGTGTTAGCAAAACGCCTTGTTTTAAATGATTTGGCGTGTCTCTTGAGGCTAAGCACATTCAGATGCATTTGGGTTTTGGCCAAAGGCAGAGTAAGATCTGAGGAACACACTACAAGCGATAATCGGCCACACATGGGTATACAATACAGCTAAATGTTGTTGTCACTCCTCTTTTGAGTGCTTAATTCCATTCTTTACATTCAGAGTTGGTTATATTGGGGAGTGACAACCAGAGCCGAATCAATTTTCATTTAATCCTTGTAGTGTTTACAGAACCAAGCTGAACGACTATTTGTTAATGCATTGACGCCACTCTCTTGTGGACAATGACAACTTGTCAATTTGTGTCTCTTTTTTGACAGGTGCAGTGCAAGCAAATCACAGGGAAACAGATACATTCATTTACAAACTCTGTCATCAGTCTTTCTCTCGCCACTATCATTGCTTCTACAGAGTGTTAGAAGAATTACATATTTTTATACCGTATGTCATCTGGAAATTAGCATCATTCTGGTTCCATTGACAAAAAGTCAATAGGATTTTTCCAGAAAATCTCTGTGACCAAAAAAAAAGTTTGATTCTTGCACATTATTTCACCAAGATAATCTAAAAAGCTTCAGTGCAATCCGCAGGAGTAAAAAGCTAAAGCTAGGCTACAGATGAACTACACCAAGGTCGCATTACTTCAACACCACCACCACTAAGCTTCTGAGAACTCTTTCAATCTCTTTTTAATAGTGCTGTCGTGGTGAAGGAATTTCCCTTGCAGTAATTTTGAGTGGCTCAATAGTGTGTTATATTTATTCTGTGTGTGTGTGTGTGTGTTACGATGTAACAAGGTCATATTCAGAAACCAATTAAACCAAAACCAAATAGAGCGTTGAAACAGGAAGTGAAGTAAACAGAAGAGAATGTCAAAATAAGGGTCCACATAACAGAACATAAACCTGACAATAAGATGGCTGGGCTATTGTTAGCCTATGTATAACAGTTAGTTCTGATCTTCTAATCTGACTGGACAAGAGACTTTCTGCTGATATTTCACCTGTGGATTCTAGACGGGCTGTCATCAGTGCAGTTACATTGTTGTGCCACGAGGTGGTGGCAAGGGACTGTCTTTGAGGGAATCTTTAAACCGTTAATTCAACTACACTTTCAAAAACGCTGATTCATTCAAAGAGAGATGTAATGAAACATGCTGTTGAAATCATGTTAATTTTGAGTGCCGGCTGACCAGCATTGCATCGATGCTAAGACAGAAATTTCGATTTCCATGGACATGACAACCTATATTCACAAATATTTATTACTCGGCCTGAAGGACAGATGTAGGTAATCGCACACTCTCAGTCGATCTCTGTTTCATTCACTGTCTGTTTAGGCTTGTTAAGTGCAAATCTATGGAGCATCTGTACAAAACAACATGGTACACGTTATCATTACTAACTTATTTAATATTTAGTACACATGCACAAAGTGTAAAACGAGAAGGGCGTAACCTTACGAAAAAAAAAATGCAAATATTGCGGTTGCTGCGGTTTTTGCACTTCTCTGCAGTTGGCTCGTCAATAGTGTGGTATTGCGATATTGCAGATATCGCATCAGCCCTACTTTTTAAAATCTACAAGTTGGAATGTTTGAGTTAGAATAGTTTGCAAGTGCATGATTATAAACAGCTATAAAGCTGTAAGAGCGGAATAGTAAGTGATGATTTTACTCATTCGCCATGATGACGTTTTATGTTTCTGACAACCTCTGTAGGTTGTCAATTTAGCAACTTGTTAGCAAGTAAAACACATAAAACACACACACACACACACACACACACACATACACACACAGTAAAAAAGTGGGGTATAGCTGATATATTTTATTTCACAGAATAAAACGTGAAAATATGTTGAGCTTGTGTTAACCACAAACCTTATTTTAGGCAATTGGTTGATTGGTAATGTTTTTTTTTTTTACAGTGTAATGCTCTAGCAACAACCCAGAACACCCTAGATGCTTCATAGTAACACCCTGAATTCTACTCAGAACATTAGTTACAGCATAGTAACAACCTTACTACCACTTTCAACATATTCTAGCATTATGCCAACGACTTCTCCACAGAACATGGAAAATGACCACTCACATGGAATCAGGTCATGTTGCAGGTACTCAATTTTGTTTCATCCTCGTAAGAACCATTATTTAAAACAAAATGAGCACTGGAATATTCACGCTAACTGCTGGCACCATAATTAACTGTGTTTTTAAAATGGGATTCTATTGTGATTTCTATACTCTACCTAGAAATTACAGTATATTGCATCTTACTAGCAAGTATGATTAAACATTTTGTGAGATGTAGCTTTATATCATATAACTGGAGATAAGAACTTTGGGAAAACTGAGGAAAAATCAGTGAAGAAGAAGTGAGAAACACCGGGGTGCAGATCAGGTTTTAATCATCTCATTATAATCGCAGGAAGCTATCTCTGGCTTTTCACATTTTTATCTGAAGATCCATGCTGTGCTTGGCTTGCCACGGTGCTGACCCTGTGCCAGCTAATACTCACCAGCTCTCTTTCCTTACCATGGCACACATCTTTATAGCAGTAGCCAAATACAAAGATTATCTCAGTGCTAAAAATGAACTAAAATAAGAGCTGTGACACAGGGCTGTGTGACAAACATTACAAATATTAAGGTCACAAAGAGACATATGTCTACTGCTAAAAGCCACGTTTCAGCCATCTCTTAGCTTTTCATTTTAACAACCCTGACTTTCAAATTTCAAAAACTGGCAAGTATGTTTCCAGAATGTACATACACAAACAAACAGCTTCATTGCTAGGTTTAGAATAACGACAGAAACCTCATAAGACAAGCTCAGGCAAATGGACTGGACGTTTGTTTAGCGACCACTAGAGGGTTGTAAACAAACATTTTTGGCACACTCTTCACTGAGGCCGGGCAGATCTGGACCGTTATCTGGTTGTAGGCAGGCCATAGAGAGAGAGGCAGACAGAGTCTGCCCAGGTACCCTGGGACAGTGCTGACAGGAGAGGATGGGAGGAGAAAATATAACCCTGATTCCAGACAAGGAGGTGCTTCATTCATTGACTTTGGGATGCAAACATGTCCACTGAAGCCAGGTATATGAAATAAATGACTATCTAGAGTAGTGTTTAGGTTTAGCAAAAAAAAGCCTTTAGATCAAGGTGATTCAGATTTTTTTGGTCTTGCAATACGTTTTTGACGTGGTAATGTGCAAGAAAGAATCCTACCTTGTCTTTCTTCTGTTTTTCGTCTTGATATATAAGCCATCTCTCGCCATTATTGCTGTAAGCCAGCTTATAGGAGCCGACAAACTGAACATGTCCAAAGTCTTTAGCCCCCTGGGTAATAACGCCTGTGATTTTTGTTGGCCGAAGCATGTCAACCTGAAAAACACAGAGAAAGAGAGAGAATGAGAGAGCTTTTAGTAGAGATTTTAGTGATTACTTGACTCCCCAAATAGCCTGAATCTTCCACTCTTATCTTCGGCAATAACTTCTAAAGATACCGTAAATTTGTTTGGAGGGTATCATCAATTATTCAAAGCAAAGTGGGCAATAAGAAGTAGCCTTTTATTTCAGCTCAGCAGAACTGTGATTGCTAGCCACAGCAATATGTGATAATTGCATTTGGTTAATATTTTATGCGCTTGTATTTACTGAGATTTTTTTTTATTGCAAAGCTGCAGAACACCCCCTTCCCCCTTCCCTTTTTATTTAGTTGTGTTATATGTAATTTTGTTTAAAACCTACATATGTACTTTTAACTGTTTGGCAATTTCCATAGCCGCGGGGGGGAAAAACCAGGAAACAAAAACAACTTTCAAAAAGGCAGGAAAAACTAAAACGAGGAGAAGGGGCGCTGCTTACTCTTGTTTCTGTCCGGTATTCTGTCACGATCTGCTAAGGTGTGGGAACACGGAGCAAGGAACGAGGAGACCAAGAGTACAGAAACCAAGGAATTTATTCATCTTCACGGGGAATCACACGTAGCACTGTAGACACAAACATTCACATACAATACCGGACACTGGAGCACACACAGGGAACACTATTTATACACATGACAGGATGAGGAGAGGACGAGACACACCTGGGATCAATAGACATAAAATGGGGAACACCTGGAATCAAATAAACCTAATCAGGACAGGAACAGGAAACTAACTACGATATGGGCGTAGGAAGGCACATGGGGAGCAAGACACACAAAACACGGAACAAAGTCTGACAAACATGTTCATAATCAACGCACAGTATTCTGACACATATAGCTTTGCATAGCCCAGCCAGTTTACATTGAAATACAGCTTTTTGTGAAATGCTGACACATTAAAGAAATCAAATTAGACAGACTTCATGTGGTCACACCATTGCGATATTAGGGACCCTATGGCTGGACTAAATTAGTTCTATACTGAAAACGCCTTTAATTTACAATTCCATGAATTCTCTGACCCGCTTTCATGCCTACTGAAAAGTTACACATGGGGGTAAAGACATGAGGTATGTCTGCTCCACAAGAGCATACAGTATAACATCCAATCAAACAGACAGCAGTCCCTGTACTGTGTACAAAACACCTGAGATGTGCTCAGGCCATAGTTATAAATAGAAACACCAGACAGATGATTACTGTACCTTGTATTTTATTTTGTTCCATCCTCGTCATTTTCAGTCTTGAATTAAAGCAGGTAACACACAATGCAGCCGATGGCACCCTGTTGTATTTGTTTGGATGTTCTTATTTTTCTTAACTTTTTTTTCCCTTCTCTAAAATCTCTCCCACTAATTATGCACAACATTTTCTGACACTAATTTTCACTATAATAAGCACACTTACATTTTTAATAATAACCCCAGAGATATTTGGACTACAATCAAATTGTCTTAAATTACAAATGAATGAATGAATGAATGAATTAATTAATTAATGAATCTGTTTTTGGCAGGGGTTGGCCCATACTGACTTGATCTGATTCTTATAAGCTCAATTTAAAATACCTTTACAAAACCTGGTACAGAAGGACACCAAGACACCAATCTGATGAAGGATGCCATCTTTTTCTGATGCTAGGGGGTGCTATAACTAAAGAAGAAAAATCTAAACTGTGAAATATTTTCCATTTGCCACCAAAACAACTGTACCGCAGCACTCACAGGATCTGATTTGTCAAATTTTTGTACAATTTTCCAAACTGACTGGATCCTGATGATTGCTTCTTGTGGCTTTTTGGCTCTGAAATGTACAGTCAGTTCCAGCATTTCTCCCTGTGGTCCCCTTCATAGGAATCAAATAGAGGCTTTTAAAGAAGTTGCTGAACAAGGTACATCAGAAGGGTTTTGGGAAACTTGCGGTCGGGCACACTTATGGCTTTGCGTAAAGCATAACTCTGTCATATATCAAAGCCTTCACAGCTAGTTAGCAAATCTGTTTTTTTTTTGTTTTTAAGAAAGCAACATCAAGCATTAGCAAATCCTGAAACAGATGAGCAACTGCCATTGATATGAATAGGAATGCAGATAGCTTACTACAGGTATTACAGACCTCTTTGATTTGGAACTAGTTTCTTTCAGAAATGTAACAATATCACCACTGTATCTGTGTCATCTATTTTGGATAAAAACACCTACAAAAATAGATCTAATCTGTTAGTTCAATAAGAGAACAACAACAAAGTAAGTGTGAGCCCCACAAAACAGACTGAGAGTCCCTTGTGTGAATATTTCATTGCTCCACTCAGTTCCTTCAAGCCTGAATCATTCTTCATCTGTACAAATTCACTCTTAAATCGCTTCTTTTCATCCCATTACATTAATTAGTTCAACTGCTTAACAAACTGCATACAAATCAGACCTGGAAAATGGAATACCTCTGGTTGAGAGAAAATGAAAGAGAGAGAGAAAGAGAGAGGTAAAAGAAGGAAGGACAAGAGAAAGACGCAACATTTTCATGAGTAAAAGCATCTCCAATTCATAGCCAGCTTCCAGATTCGAACAGACCTGACAGCTTCTCAATTCAGTGCGCTTGTTCTGCATGCATAATTTACACCACCAAACCTCATCTAAGAGATCGACATACAGTACACACACCTTTGTGAGAATAACAAAGATAAAGTGGATTCAATCAATTAAGAGCCCCTTTTGGAAACAAAGCATGTGTTATGGTGAACATCTGCATGCAAATGTGACTGATCTTGTATTATTAAGATTTAAGGCTTTAACACAGCTATTAAATAAATAAATCCACCACTGCATTCATCCATTCTAGCATGGCTATAGATCATTTAAAGGGGTCAAATGATGCGATTTCAATTTTTCCTTTCTCTTTGGAGTGTTACAAGCTCTTGGTGCATAAAGAAGATCTGTAAAGTTGCAAAGACTAAAGTTTCAAATCCAAAGAGATATTCTTTATAAAAGTTAAGAGTCAACCACGCCTACCTAAAACGGCTCGTTCTAACACGCCCCCACATGTCTACGTCACGATGTGGGAAGATTTGCATAACGCCGCCCAAATGTTCATGCAAAGAAAGAAGGCGTAACTTTTATTCTCACTGTAGTATTGTTGTTGCCGCCGCCATGTCGTGAAGGTGCTGTGTTTCGTTGTGAAAGCGAAACTACTTTGGTTGGCCTTCCAAAAGAGGACGATATCCGCTTCGTCATGCCTAGAGCTAATTCGTGCTGGTCGCTGAGGAAATACATCAACTTCGTGCTGTTGATCGCCGGATCGGCTTTCACCGTAGACGAAGCGGAGTCCAGCCCGGGGTCGTCACATGTGGTTGCCGCAAGCCGTTCTCAAGCCCACCCGCCACAACTCACTCTAGCCCGCAGTCAGGAATTGGCAGTATTTGAAATACAAAATACTATTTTGTTTTTAAATACCTTTTTGCATTTAAATACATTTAATCTTAGTATGTTTAAAATACATAAGGTACTTTGTCAATCAACCTCATTAGACTGCTGATTTCCTGCAGGGATGGGCAGTATTTCAAATACATGTATTTGAAATACTATTTTGTATTTAAATACCTTTGGAAAAATAATGCTCTTTTTAGCAGCATCATATGACCCCTTTAAAAAATGTAAAAATTTAATTACTCCCTGGAGGAAATCAATTTCTTTAGCCATCCATGCTTCAAATCCAGTTAAAAACTAAGGACATTCTTAAGGTGACAAATGCAGCTCTCAGACGGTAGATGTTTTGGGAATCATTTTTGCTCATCTGTGAAAGGACAAGATAGAAGCTTAGATATTTATCAGGTCATGTGCTGATCGTTTCTTTGTTGTGTTGTCACAAAGCGTAGGACAGCAGTGATTGAAGAGTCATGCAGATTTCCTTTCAATTATTTAAAAGATCCACAGATAAGTGTGGAGTTTAATAATGGAAAGGTTAATGTTACAAATATTTTGCAATATTTCTAAAAGTACCACTGAGGGTTAACAGATAATTAGTGGATAATGGATTAGTTTTTTTAAATGTTAAGAAAATGTTGTCGACTCTACAAAATATTATTATTTTTTTAATTATTATTATTCAGGTGAATTCAGAATATTTTGTATTCATATATTTCCTTACTTTACAACAACTTCCCAATCCATTTTGAACAGTGTTTGGATTGAATTCGTCGTTGAATAGTTGAAACTTAAAACCGACATAATTTCAGCAGAAATCAAAAGTTATTTCATTAATTTATTATGAATATGTATGTGTTAACAGTCTAGAGACTCAAGCCTCAAGCTATAAAATAATTTTCTGCCATTTCCAACAGGTGGGAAATACATAGGAGTTATCAAATAAGACCTTCAGCCCATTATGCACACAAGTGAAGTGCACAACGACAGAGTGATAATCCTTTTAAGCAGATAAGATGCAATGATTGAAGAATGTTAAGTAAATTGCAGTGTTAGATGCATCTCCTCTCCTCCAGAAGTAACACCATTTATCGACTAATGGAATTTATGCTGACACTCGGGGAAATCAACTCGAATTGAGTAAAGTGAAAGTTTCATTGGCCTTCATCTAACAGAGAGTCTGTAATGTGGATTAGAAGCACTCATAAATTAGATTAGTTAATTTTTAGATCATTCGCAAACACAGAGTTAACATTCACATGTCTTTCATTTCTGGAGGAGAGAGGGGAGAAAGTCCCCTAAGTATGTAAACAACCACCCACATACTTGACGTTAGTCGAAACCACTCTGAAAAAATAAATAAATAAATAAAAAACATATCACAAATGTTGAAAACAAGCTAAGCTGAAGCTTTCCGACAGATTTTCTTCAATGCTACTCAAGATAAATGTGGAAGTGACACTTTTAAACACTGATCAGCATCACTCCAGTGCTTCCATGGAATGGAAATGGAGCAAAGAACAGTCACATGGCAG